ATTTGTACTTCTGTATGTATATCCAAGCATTTTCCAGATTAGAGACATCCTCTATAGTGATTTTCTGGTTCCCTAAGACCAAGTTGTCTCCTGTGGGTCATGCTCATTTGATGCCTTTCTGGGTTTTACAATATTAATTTATGCTTTGCAGCCAACATAACTGTCTTTTGTTGCGGCAGTATGCACTTAAATGTCAGAGCTTTGCTGAAGAACCATGTAGCCCTGAAGGAAGCCACTGTGTTTAGTAAAATCTGGCCACATTTTATGTTTATGGCTGTTATTAGGGCATCCCACAGAGCTTGTTAAAAATTGTGTATCTATTGTCATTATTAGCCCAGGAATCTCAAATTCACACATTCAAATAATAGTTATAGAATATATTCTAAGTGCCAGAGGCTGACATAGACTGTGATAATCCCCATTTTCATTGTACTTAAAGTTTGGTTCAGTGAGGCAGTGTGAAGTCCCAGCACTAAAGAAGGAAATAAATGTTATAAGGAGATAAAAGGTGGAAGGGTGGAAGGGATTAAAGAATAAGTACAGAAAATATTTTAAATAAGTGTCATGAAGAAAAAAGATATGGTATTCAGAGGCTGCCTAACCTAGACTGAGTAGACAGACATCAGTATTTGAGTGAGGTAACAGGTGGGTGCGATTATTCCAGGAAGATGGGCTGGACTAGCAGATGCAAAAGCACAGAGACGGGAAAGAGCTTGGTGTGGTTGAGAAGCACACTGCTCTGTGCCTGTGCGGAAATGACAGAATCCAGTCTTGGGCTGATAGCCACCTGGTGCTGCTAGTGCCTATAAGACTCACTACATGCCCTCTCCTTATGATCTACTTCTTGACCTTTATTTCTCAGCCATTCACTTGGTACCCATGTACCCTGCCCTCTCTCCGCTTAATGTTCCTCCTGGAAAGCTCATAAGCATTCGAGCCACACCTCTACTCTCTGCAGTGGCCCTGCTTCTCTGACACGGGCTGAGTCTTTCCTGTCCACGTCCTCCATTGGGCTGAGGTATGGCCATCTTGCATCCATTATAAATTGGCCATTTCATATGCCAGGGCCAGCTCCATTTTTCTTGCTTCCTTGTCCCCTCCTAACCCTCCATGGAAGCTTCATAGTGTCGTCTTCCACACTATATAGACGCCCACAATTTTCTTTTCTATCTCTTGCCTATCATCCCAGATTGAGTCTGAGATCAGCTGTGAGGATTTTGGGGGTTTTCTTTGGACCAAGCCTCATCAGTGGAGCTACATCACCCAGATATCAGCCCTTTCTAGTTGACGTCTGTGTGATTGACAGGCTCAGAAATGGTGGATACCATGTCATATCCACTTCTGCTCCAAAGCCCAGATGCCACCAAGAACACATCTGTTATGTCTAAGGCAAGTGCTTCTCTCTGTCCATGGCTGAGTTTGTTTGTGCAGAATGAAGAAGACTGCAGGTGACCTCTGTACTCAGAATCTCTGAGTATACCTCTGAGGCAGGAGCACATGTAACATGTCTTCTGCAGACTGTTTGCCCTGAAAAGTGAGTATGCAGCAGATGCCAAGTAACAGCAATTGTAGTGATTGTTTTAAAATAATCACAGGCACAGAGAAGGCACACAGTGTTATAGGAACTGCAGCAGGGATCTATTCAATACAACTTTGTGTGTGTGTGTGTGTGTGTTGAGGATCAAACTCAGGGCCTTATACATATAAAGTAAGAGCTCTGCCACTGAGCCACATCCCCAGCCTCTGTTGTGCAAGCCTCTTAGGCTAGAGTTAAAAATCACCTGTGAGTACACAACTGGACCAGAACTGGCTGAGATGTCCTGTCCTACATGTGTAATGCTTTCACTTTCTTGACTTCCATCCACATATACACACTGAGGCGGGCACGGGGTTAAACACCTGCCTGCACTGCATCACCTTCTTCCACTGGGTGGAGTGGAGCCTTGGGGGAGGCAAATAAAAATTTGAATCTAGGTCCCACTGACCCCAAAGCTGTACTCTTAAACACAATATTCCCATCTGTCCAGATACCTCACCTCCCTGGAAACCCACAACCCCTCCTGGGAATCATTTAGCACATGTCTACAGGAGAATGTGATAAAGAATTTAGATGACATTTTGGAAGAGGAAAGGTGATTAAACAAACTTCCAATTGTGCTAGGTCAGGAAAAAATGAGTAAGGGACCACTGAGCATGACCGGGTGACCTGGCTGAAGGGCACACTTGGTGACAGTGGACTAACACTCAAACAATGAGTCAAAGAAACACAGTTGGGTGGGGTGTATCATCCTACGTGTAGAACAACAGTTTAAGAAAAAGCAAGTGGGGGCTGGGGATTTAGCTCAGCGGCATAAGCGCTTGCCTTGCAAATGTGTGGTCATGAGTTCAATCCTTGGTACCGATAAAAAAGAAAAAGACCAAAAAAAAAAAAAACACAAAGAAAGAAAGAAAAAGCAAGTGAAGGGGGAGAATTCAGCATGGCTACAGCACAGAGTACATTGGAGAAGAGAAGCATAAGGCAGGAGGCATGGATGAGGCCATACCCAAATCAAGGGATATGCTGGAAGGCGTGGTGCTGGGGAGGAGTGCGATCCAGTTTACACCTTCCAAAGATCACTCTGACAGCAATCTTGCAGGGGAGACTGGAAGAAGAAGATGGGGCAGAGGGCTCAGTTTGTTGGAGGTATTTGCAGAGTCCATGAAAGATGACCATGACCCAGACAAGGGAAGTAGCCTCAGGGATGGGAAAAGAGAAGTGAATTCAAGAACTAGACAGTGAGCTCTTTTGCTCCTTTTACTGTGTCTCAGAGCTTTATGAGAGTTGCCACCACGCCATCCTGACTAGCATAAAGGCACGTGCTCCCACATGCCCACTCTAGGTGAAATGGTGAGAAACGGGACCTCCGAGACACAGGGCCCATGACAAGAAAGTTTTGGTACAAATCATGTTCTGTGTTGTGTTGCTGAAATATGTTGAGTAATAGAATTTCTTCTTCCAATTGCAAGAGTCCTATTTGCCCCTACTCTTTGTGCCATTGATAATTTATTCACAGTACTTACAGACTTTCATTGACAATCTGAGAAAAGCAAGCTGGAAGCCAGCACAGCCCCCAGCAGATGTGAGTCCCAGAAAGGAAGGTCCATAGCCTGGTCACCATGTGGGAACATTGGCTCTGCCTTGAGCTTTTCTAGGGATCAGACAGGTCCTTTTGTCTGAGATAGCAGCTGTGTGATCTTGGACAAAGGACATTCAGTCTGTTTCTCCACTTGGAACTGGAGATAATAACATCTATCTCAGAGAGTTATTCTGAGGGTTCCACTGTATAATTTGTTTAGTCATAGCTAAGATTGACCAAATGCCTGTAATAAACCAGTCACTATGTGTGAAATCTTTGAGATAGAAATTATTATTATCCCTATGGGGAAAAAATGGAAACACAAATGAGAACTTGTTCAAAGTCGTATAGATAAAATGAAACAGAACCAGGATTTGAACTCACAGCATCTGGGTTGCAAACCCTGTGTTCATTACCTCCATATTTTACTTCCTTCCCATATGCACAGGTCTAGTGCCTGGTAAACAGCAGACGTTTAACAATAATATTTTTTTCCTTTCTATTGGCCCTCACTGTAAGACAACCTGAGGTAAATCAGCAAATTTACTTCCAACTCCCCATACTCTATAGGGAACCACTGGTATGATGTGGATTGGTAGAAGAGAAGGCATTGTTTTGCTAACTATCGCTGAGAGATTAAATTAAACCCAAGTCTCCCCTGGACCCAGTCTTCTTATTGTTGGTAGGTCCAAGCTATTCATGTGAAATTATCCACCAAACTGTCAAATGTACAGCATGTGGCAAGTGACCACTCTGGTCCACAAAAGATCTCTGTCCTTCAGAAGCCTTATACATCAGTTCTGACCAGATATATCAGATTCAGCTCATACTTACCAAGCATCCACCATTTCTGTATTGATTGAATGACTAAGCGTTAATCCCTTATTTATTTGTTTATTTTTTCCACAAGAATTTACATAGTACCTGCTACTACCTGGCTTCGTGTGCGGCATTAGAAATAAGAAGTGAATGAGATACAGGTTCTGACACACAGTGTGTGAGGGAGGTGACTTGATGAGCTACGATATGTAGAGCTACAGAGTTCAGAGGAGGGATAAATTGGCTCTGCCCTGAGAACTGAGCAAAGATCTCACAGTGTGTGGGACCATGTGATCAAGGTTTTGAGGAGTGATTTTTTTTCAGCTGGTGAAAGAATTGGGAGGGCATTCTAAGATTACCAACAGAATGGGAAAAACCTGGAGGCACAAAAGAGTGTGTATGTTCATGTTAGGATCATGGAAGGATCAAAGTGGTATAAGCTTTAAGACACTCACAATTGATGCTTAGAATTGCCACTCATGGACATGCACAATGCAATGTCAATTTCCTTCATCTTTCAAAAGCAAATTGCATCCAGATTTACCAAGATTGGTGAGAAGTTTAATTCCATTCCCTTTTCAGTTTATGCAGGAAGGATGGAGAAGGAGAAGGGTGTCTGGCTCTTTCTCTGTAGTGATCACTAATCTTGGTCTAAGGCTCCAACATCCATTTAAAGATGGACATCTCTGCTGGGAGCCCCTGCTAGTGCCTTATGTTAAGGACTTCTGTAGAGATCATCATCAAGGGTTTTGTTAGCTTCTCCTCAAAGGCAGAGAACCTAGATCTTTGGTGGCCAAAGGTCCGGTCTCTTCTTTGGCCAGGAAGAGCTCAGGGTTAGAGGGAGAAGATACATTAATTCTTTGCAAATAAATCCACACAATGAGAATGAAACCATAAATTAACAACCCCATAATCACACTGTTGTGAGGGAGATATCAGGGCATTCCCTGGTGTACTGTATGGAGAGCCAAGGTGAAATAGGATGGATTTCTCTGCACTCCCCTTGCATGGTGGTTTAGAGATAGTCTAATCTGGCACTGACAAGAGACCCCTTGTCTTCTGCAGGTGTGGCAGTGTGGCGGCAGTGTGGAGGTCCTGCCCTGCTCGAGGATTGCCCACATAGAGCGAGCCCACAAGCCCTACACTGAGGACCTCACGGCGCATGTCCGCAGGAATGCCCTCAGGGTGGCTGAAGTCTGGATGGATGAGTTTAAAAGCCATGTCTACATGGCCTGGAACATACCCCAGGAGGTAGGGGAGACCAGTGGGGCTGAGTTTCTTTGGGTTTAATGGGTGGGGAAAAAATTAATGGAAATAGGTTCCTCTTCCCGTGGATCAGAGTCTGGATTGCCATGCTAGAAGGGACTGGCAACCACAAGAATGCTCTAGACAAGAAAAGGGCTGATTTTGAGGCTCCGAGCCTTTTCTTTCCCCTATCTGCACCTGATCAGTGTGCTTTACAGAGAACTTAATCTCTCTCAGCCTCTGTAACCTCATTTTAAAATGAAAATTGGCCACACAGATCCACATTTCTTTCCTGCTCCTGGTCCTCAGCTTCTCTGACATTGGGTGTTCATGGCCCAGGCCCAGGTTTAAAAATATCCTGATAACAAGAAACAATTCACAGAATGCACCTTAATCTCTCTGTAGACTAGATTTAAGCTTCTCCATTTAACCTCAGGCCAGGGCATTAAGGAATATCCATATAGGATTTATTTAGCCATATGGATGGGGATTGGAAACACTCCCTCGGGATTCTTAAAAGGAAAAGGAAACTATTCTGAATATTTTTAGGATGTTTCTGACCTCATCACAGAACTTTACTGTCTGCCACTGTCTTCTGTCTCTCTAGTCACCTATGATTAAGAAGCATCAGAGAAAAAGCAATGCTTCACTCATAGTTTTGTTCAGCCTTGCCATGTGTCACATGGATATGACCTTAGATACTGAGTTGGAAGAACCCAACAGATGCCAGCCACAGGATGTCGACCTCCATACCAGCTTTTGGCCTGGAGTTCATTGCTTACGTTGCATTCTGTGTGACAGAGCTGTTGACAGCATGAACTCTATTTTCCTCCCAGGCTGTGGCATCCCATTGGGAGTCTTTTAGAAAAAGCCTCAGCTGTCTTTCAAAGATCAATCATTGCCCAAAGTTTTCACAAGCAGCCCTATTCCTGGAACTTTCCACCAAGCTAATGTTTCTCTGGCTAAATTGTTAGAAAGTAGGCTGAGACTTGGGTGAGAGCTTTCAGTAGCCTGTCTCTAGTCTAGAACTACACACTGGGGAAGGGAACTTGAGTTTGGATTCAGACTCTGTAATGAGTGAGATTTCATTAGCTGGCAGGAAAAATGAGGAGCCAAGGAAGGTCAGGCAGAGCGCAGTCCACCCTATGACGCAGCCCTGAGATTGCATCCCGAACAGTAAAAGTGTTTCTAGGGAAACCACTGTGTTTGTGTGCCTTTCAGGCACTGGATCACAGAACTCTGCTTAGGGCACTAGCCCGGGGTGTGTGTCCCCTAGTGGCAGAAACTGTTAAAAACATTTGAAAACTCCCCAGGAGCTCATTGGGGAGCACTACAGACCTCCAGGGCCCATCCCCAGCTCTCTGTCCCCCAAGGATGCAGACTTAACCCTCTTCCCCATCATAGCCACAGATACTGAAATAGGTGACAACCCAGTGAATGGTAGAGAACTACAGGAGTAAAAGTGATTGAAAAATAATGAAATTCAGTGTCTGCCTGTGACCCTTCCAGGAGATACTTCAGGCCAATCAAGTGGGTGGGGAGAAGTGAGAAGATGAGAGGTGGCAATGCCCAGATAAAGCCCTTGGTGGAAAAGGAAAGAGTCTGTGTGTTTCAAAAAAAAAAAAAAAAAAAACCAAAACTCTACTGTTAATTTCTGTGTCCAAACTTCCTCCTCTGAAGCCCCTGCGAAGAGTCAACAGATTTTCACCTGCACTCATTTCTCAGTATGCCATCAGGTATGGCCTTTGCCAAGGCCAGCACGGACCTCCTAACTGCCTAACAAACCTCTTACAGATGCTCACCTAGAAGAGTCCACCTTTTTATTAAAACTCCACTCAGTCCCTTGGCTCCATGATTCCACACTCTCCAATCTCCTCGTGGCTCTCTAATCAGTCCTTCATCCGTATGGTTCTCTCACCTCTGCTGGTTGCCAGAAATGTATCCTTGGCCAACAGCTCTCACTATGCACCACTTCTTTGGGTAATCGCATCTGCTCTTGGACTTGACTACCACTCGTATGTTGACAAATTCCTAATTAGTATCACTTGCAAACTCTCAAACTTCCATTGCCACCTGTCAGCTGGACATCTTTTTTTGGTGTTTCCAAAGGCACTCAGAATAAACCTGACCTAACTGAGCACATCTCATTCCCTCAAACCTTGTCCTCTCATCCTCTGCCTCACTTCCTGGTGCCACCATCTGCCCACACAAATGAGCTTGAAACTGACCCTTTTATCTGCTTTCCCCTCAATCTCAACCCAGCAACCACCAACTCCCCTTTGCACTCCCTCCTCCTCTCACATCTGAGTTCAGGCTCTGCCTGGCCTTGCACCACAGGCTCCATAATCTATCCCCTGGCTCCCCCTTGAAATCTATCCTTCACTCTACCCAAAGTTACCTTTTTAAAAATTCACAGGATCCGTAAATTTGCCCTGTTTAAAAGCTCTAACATTTCTCCACTAGGTACAAAGTCAAGTGCCAAGTGCAGTGTTCACTTTGCACCTGAAGTCCTCGCGCCCTCCATTCTGTCTGTATCCCCAGCCTCACTCCTCCTGACACCTTGTTTTGAGATCCACATAGACCACTGGGTTATGAGAACTGCCACAGATCCCTGATTTCACCATGCCCTTTCTCACCTCTGTGCTTGCTCACTCTCTTCTGGCTATTTAGGAGTCTCATCATCCACCGCTTTCCCTGTCCCTACCCCTACAGATCTTCTCTATCCTTGCAGACTCAGCCCTGGTGCCCCTTCCTCTGGGCATCCAGCCCTGGCTAGGAAAGTGCTCTTTCCTGTGCATACCTCTAGCATTGCATGCTCAGCCTGTCTCACATCTCTCTCTCTCTCTCTCTCTCTCTGTCTGTCTGTCTGTCTGTCTGTCTCTCAGTAGACGAGTGACTCTCAATTCTTGCTGGACTTTAAAATCACTTAGGTTCCACCCCTAGAGAATATGATTTAATTGGTTTGGAAGAGGCTTCCAAAATCTAATTTCGGAGAGTTCTTCTGGGGACTTTGATATTCATCTAGAGCTGAAAACTGTTGCAAAAAGCCATGGACTCCCAGAGAACAGATTGTGTTATCTAAATTTGTGTCGTGCATAGCACAAAGCGGAACACATGCTCAGAGCTCATTCACGGATGACTTCACTCTGTTTATGTGTGTATTCCCTTTCTCCCTTGGTCAATAGTTCCTAGAAAGCCAATCTGCAGAGCAATTGTATCAGCATCACTTTGGGAGCTTGTGAAAAATGTTGATCTGGGCCTCACCCTGAAAGATTCAGGTCAGTGAGTCTGTAGAGGTGCTGGAACCAGAAGAAAGTTCTCCAGGTGATGGTGCAGGGTAGCCAAGGTTGGGTAACACTAATCTAGCCAGCTCTGCTTATCATTCCAGACTCACCTCAAGCATCCCTGTGCCAGGCACCCCTCTTTGACTGCTGCCCTTCTGTCTGCTCTTCCCTGCCAGCATCCCACAGTAAGCAGGATGAGGGCCCTTTCCTGTTCCTCCTCACACTCTCCTCTTCCTTCTGTGCCTCACACTATGTATGCAGTCTTTTTATTGTCTGTGTCTCTCAGACTCCTTTTGGGCACAGACCATGTTAGTCCTGCTTGTATACACAGTGCTTAGGGCAGAGCCTTACCCAAAACAGAGAGGTACTTGGTAAAGACGAGGAGACAGAGATAGAAAAAGAGGAAGCTGGCTGCCCCCTCTCCCCATGTTGTCCCCAGGAGACATCCCAGCTGCCCTCTCTATGATGCTGCGCCAGTGTTTCCTCTTCTATTGCAGGCACATCTGTGTGTTACTCATTTACTTTACCTTTCTTCTATAGCATTCTACTGCAAATGCAGAGCTCCAGTCCTGCCTAGATGATTGCCTGGGAAATCAAATACATTAAAATAGGTTGAGATTTTGATTTGTGCTCAGCACCTAGATAAGTGTTAACATTGATTATTTTTGCTGTTTCTTATGCCCTGTGCATTCTCTCCCTGGCTTTCTGACATGCCTCCTGGGGGATCATCCTCTACCTGTCCCCTGTGATGCGGAGTGTGGTGCAGAGCTGGGCTTCTTACCTGCTCCTTACTATGTTCAGTCCCAAGTTTGTAAGAAACTAAAGCATCCTGGGGTTCTTGCATCCTGCTTGTTTCATTGAAAATCACTTTGTGTATCAGGACACAGAAAGTCAGCTTGCAGCAAGGAGTCAGTATTTTCTTAGGGAAGACTCAGTATTCTAGAGCAGCTGCGATTTCCTCTGCCCAAGACAGCATAAAGGCCAGTGATGCCCAAGTGGCCCTTAGGTGCTGGCTTTTCTTCGGGTTTGGTTGCAAGGTATTTTGTGGCAGGAATACTAGCCGATTTTGGCTGTGGGTAATTTCAGGAGTTTCTTAGGGCTGCAAAAACAAATTACCACAAATTTGGTGGCTCAAAAATAGAAATTTATTCTCTCACAGTTCTAAAAGCCAGAAATCTAAAATCAAAGTGCCAGCAAGGCCATCCTGCCTTCAATGGCTTTTGAGAGTAATGCTTCCTTCCCTCTCCCACTGCTGGTGGCTGCTGGCATTCTTGGTTTGTGGATGCATCAGTCCATCCCTGGCTGTATTCTGTGTCTCTGTGCATTCAAATCTTCTTCTCCATTCTCTTATAAAGATACTCATCATTGGATTTTCAGCTCACTCTAAACCCAGGATGATTTTATCTTGAGATCTCAAACTAATTATATCTTTAAATAAGCTCTAAAGTCACATTCAAAGCTTCTGTGTAGATATGTATGTTAGGAAAGGAAGTTATTCTATTCACTGCATGAAATATTTGGCAAAAGAAGATATGTTCACTGTTTTCTAATAAGAGCCAAAGTGACCTTGTCTGAGATCTGTATGTTTCTCAGTTTATGCTGAAAAAGGGCTTGATGCAATTGACAGTAAGTACATAGTTCAGATAAGCTGAGCCATTAAAATAAAAAAGCAAACGCCGGTTAATAAACAGGGAGGTGATATACAGATATACATCCTGAGCAAAGCGCCAGCTCTGGAAGTTCGTAGAGATGTATACCTGATGTATTATATATCTCATGATTTAATAAATCATAAGGAGAGAGAAAAATGGTGCTCCAATCCTGGGTTCAGTAGAAAGGGTTTTCCCTGTAGAACCCAGAATTTTAGAAAATGACAGAAGCCATCCTGAGACAGACTCTGCAAATGGTGCCCTGTATAAACTGATTGTGTTAAATTTTAGTCATATAAAGGCTAAGGATTTGCACCCTTACTTCCAATGGTACTTGATGGTAGTACCCATTGATGCTGGCAGGTTCTAAATAAGGATTCTTACAGGGTTGAGAATGGTCTATGTGGGAGAATGCATAAGTTAACTTCCCACAGTTACTCCAGCAGAGTCTCTGCAAATCTTGTTTGGGGGCGTGGCTCACAGCAAGGCGGGGCTTGGGGCAAGGCTGCATCTGTGCCTCTGTTTCTCTGTGCAGGACTCAGGAATCGACATTGGGGACATCACTGCAAGAAAGGCTCTAAGGAAGCAGCTGCAATGCAAAACCTTCCGGTGGTACCTGGTCAGTGTGTATCCAGAGATGCGGATGTATTCCGACATCATTGCCTATGGAGTGGTAAGCAGCCAGCTTCTCAGGGGTTCCATTTAGATGCAAGCAGAGAGCAAAACCAGAAAAAGATGCAGTGAGGAAGGGAAAAGGAGGGAACAAACCTCTTGCCTGCCTGTGTGGAAATTCGTAGTAGACCTGCAGACTATGCGCTGGTTTCCAGACCTCCGAGAGAGCTTTTGTTTTCACAGCTGAAACATTTGCAGTCCCTTGACGAGGTACTCGTCTCTCCTTTGTTGCCCTAAACAATCCAGCTCCTAACCTGTATAATCCACTTAATAAAACAAAAGCAGTTTGCTTAAGATTGCAAAGTAACATAACCAGCAGCCACTATTCTCCCAGCTGAGGTGCATGAGTTTCTACTAGCCACCTGTGTGCAGCCTGGACCAAAGGCTTACAGAGCCACCTCAGAGAAGTTCTGAGAAACAACCTTCTTGAGCTCACTGTACTTTGAGCGAGGCAGTAGTTTCAATGAGAGGCAGCAAGACAATGAGAGTAGATAATGGGGTCTAGAGACAGACCTGCTTTGGATTCAGACCTCTTTCCAGGCAAGCATCTTAATGTTTGTGAGCCTCAGTTTCTGCATCTGTTCAATGGAATAAGTTAATATCATCCTAGGACAGAAGCAAGTCTGAGATATATAAATGTAATTTCTGTCTAAGGTTACAATTCTTTAAGCATGACACACTTTTTCATTCTCCTAATATTCCAAGTATCCACAGTCCTTAAGATATTTTAAATGGTCCCTGATTGATTTTTGGATATCTCACCTGGATTTTGCTAACTTACAGTCTGAGCATATAACATTTGTATCTATAATAGTGAAGCTCTTGAGACCACTCATGTTACAGAAGCAAAAACAGAAAGGCAGGAAGTGACTTGTCTCACTCACACAGATAATCAACAGTGAAACTGAGTTTACGCCAGCTGCCACCTTTCTGGCTCCTCACTTGGATGGTATCCCCCGCCTCAGATCTTCGATATTCCAGGATAAAAACTTGAAGAATGGAGGCCTTTCCTTTCATAGCATGTTGTCTAAGTTCAAGACTGGCCTCAGTAAAAAACAGAATGCACACAACAGTAGCCCAGAAGTGGGAAAAGTCCTTGCTGAGAGACCAGTTTAGTGTTCTCTATGTACCTCTGAACATTAGCATCCTAGGATTCTAAAGGACACAGACCCTTGGACCTCCTTGTTCCCTTTCAGCCTCTCTTTTGGGGGAGCCAGTCTATAAGAAGGAATCTATCCTTCCATGACAGTCCCCAAGCAAGTTTGGGGAAAGCATCACAAGAAAAATGACCAGTAGCCTCTTGCCTCTCAGCTTCTCAAGATTGTAAATTCAGAGGTCACAAAAGACCTAAATTGTCGATGCCCAGCTCTTACCTGAGGCTTCAGATCCTGCCATCACCATGGAAACACACTGCACCATAAAGTGCTCATCAGTCCCCTCTACCTCACCAGAATCATCCAAGGACCCAGTCTTCCTGATGTCCCATACTCTGACCCATTGCAAGCTGTGGTTGCTTCTTGGCCACTAGGAGGACACTGATGCCATGGTGATTCCAGAGAAACCATAAACTCCAAACCTATGTGAGCAGGGGCCAGCTTCCAGACTGCTTTTCCCAGCAGGTGGTCAGATGTGGATGAACAGGATTAGCCAAAGTCACCTAGAAAGGCAGAGAAAACAGGGACACTGGAGGTTGATACAAGTAGCCATTGCAAATCTGAGTTTGGCCAAAGGTATTCTCATCTTCTAAGCAAAAATGTCTCTTCTTGCACGTGTGTACTGCAAGTTTATCAGACAGTCCCTGATGCCAGACCCAGAAATGTTTAGTGTGCAGTATGTACAGGGCTGGGATCTGGATCTGCCTGAGTCCATAGCGTGGACTGTTTGCTCTCAGTCATGCTGAAAGGCATACACACATCATCCCAAAGGGCCAGGCTGTGTTAGCCATCTGGGGGCTGGCTGAGGTCTCTGACCTCATGCGTGTTCATCTGTCAGCCACTGTGCAGGGCGTGGCCAGATTCCCCTCCCCACCACACTGTTGGTGTCTGGACTCCTACATGAGCAGAGCCATGCTTGCCTGTCAGGCAGCATAACGAACTCTTACTGGGGGCCATGGGATGAAGACAGGCCAAGCAGGATGTGGCCACAAGAGCAAGAGAATCCATTGGGTCTGAATTTTTCTTCCTGGTAATTACTTTTATTCTAAAATACAGAGGCTACACATCTTTTAAGGAGCAGTTTCTTTGTTATATTTTTCTGTTTCAATTCATCCCCAAACTACATCATTAATAACCTATGAGTCTCTCAATCTGGACTATATTATGTCTTCATCCCAGTCCATTAATGCATTAATAGATCCCACTAATGACTCCTAGAACCAGAAGGACCTGCCAGCCTTACTGTGTGAGTGTGCATCTCCCCTGGATCACTGAGCCCCAAGGCTGGGGAGATTGGATAGCTTCGGATGGAGCCCAGTGCTGACATTAAGAGTAGAATGGAGGAGCATCTAGAAACAGATATGCCTGGCTTCTGAGCATTTGCTTTACCACTCACTTGCTGTGTAACCTTGGCAATGTGCAAAACCTTAATGGTTATTGTAATCTATCTCATGGGCATCTTTTACAGTCTTAGGATTATAGCCATTTGCATGATAGGAAGAGCCTGGGCTTCAGAGAAGACAGACTCCAGTTCTGCCATTTGCTCAACGCTGATGCCATTAATTTGGGAATGCTATGCATTCATTTGTTCATTTTCTGCACACATTAATCTGACTAGTAGTTCCTGTCTACTATGTGCCCTGGACCATATGATATATGAGGTGTGGTGGAAAAATACAGGCTGTATTTAAATTTTAAAAAATCATTACAGTAATAGACATACTGCCATTAACTCCCTTCAGAATACTCCCCCTGACTTTCAGCACACTTATTCCATCATTCTTGTCACTTTCTAAAGTCCTGGAAGCCCTTTTTCATGAGTGTCCCCAGTGCTACTGCCATGGCTGCAGTACACTGAAGCCATGTCCTCAACTGATTAGAAACTTTTACCTTTTGTGATCATTTTGAATTTGAGCCAAAAGTTCCACAGTGCAAGACCCAATACTATACTCAGATGGGTCAGGGCACACTGTAGGGTTCTTATAAGCTTGCCTTTCTGTTGGATGGCACTCAGCAGCATTCACTGTGTTTTTTATCACATCTCATTAAGATACTCATGAAAGAGGAGTTCCAGAACTGCTTCAGAAAATGCTAAAAATGATAGGATAAGTGTATTCGAAGGGGGGAGCATTTTGAAGAGGACTAATGACAATGTGTCTTTTCCTATAAGATGCTTTTTAAAATTCAAGCATCCATTGTATTTCCTGATCACTCCTAATACAGAGAGAAGGGCTGAGACCCAGTCTGTAGATTAAAATGAGGAATAGGCAGTTGAAGTAGCAACAAGAACACAATAATCCATTGCTGCAGTAAGAAAAATGAGGACACTGGAGAATGGGACAGCGTAGCCTCATCCCTAGACCTGGGTCAGGAAAGGCCTCTAGAGTGGCAGATAAACCGAAACCAAAAAAACGAGGAGGTTTGATCAGGCGAAGAGAAGGGCAGAGCAGAGGGCAACATGAGCAAGTGATCACGCAGCAGTAGAAGCTTTATAGACAGGCAGCCCCTCCATGGTTTCCTCAAAATTATGAGAGAATATTACAGGATTAGTCTCTGAGTTCGGTGCAATTCACACCAAAAACACTTTTTGTGGCACCTGGCACATACATGCATTCCTGAAAGTTACTTTTCCTGAGTGGCTTTAAGGTGGGTTATAGCAGTAATAATAGCAGCTAACGGTTATTGCACATTTGTTCATTGCCAGGCCCGATGCTAAGCACTTGTAGATATTGTGTCATTTAATCCTCGTAATAGCTCTACAAGGTAGGCACTATTATTATCTCCATTTCAGAGGAGAGAAAACAGACAGGAAGGTGTTCTGTTGCTTTGGATCCAGGACTCTTATCTTGCCCCACTGTTTCAGTAGACCACATGCTTAAGGGGGAAGGGGTAACACAGGGCCAGGGAAGATTTTATAAACAAACAAACAAAAGAACACACAGCCTCATCCAGAGGTCAGTTTAAGAACCCAGGGAAGAGCCCAGCCCAGTCTCCATGACCTCTGGGTCTTTCCCTTTACCATGGCAGTTAGCAAGTCATGACAATGGGTTGCAGTGCTTGGCGTTAGGTGACGCATCAGGACAGGTGTCTCTCAAAGGCAAGTCTATAAGAGGGCACACAGTGGAGGATGTTGCCTTGGCCTGGGGAGTAGACACACATGTTCACATGTACTGAAAGTGTGGGATTAAGCTTCTATAACCCTTAAGGAAATAAAACTAAAGAGGAAAGAACCTGACTCTGTTCCTCATCTCCTGTGAAGAGCAGGGTATACTTAGGACATGTGTGTCTGGTATCTGTTCCATGTCATGCCCCTCAATGGGTGCATTCCACTCCTGCAACAAGGCATCAGGGCTACGCAAGCCCAGGGCTTCCTGGGCTTTGCCCAGAAAGGTGACCCTGCTGTTGTTCATGTCCTTTTTCTTTTATGTTCTGGTCACCTGTACTAAGGTTTCTAAGAAGAGAAACCCAGTAAATCTGGCTCAAATTAAAGTAGAGGTTGGTTAAAGTACCATAATCCTCTTACGGGTGTAGGAACTGTAGTGTGGCTGGACCTGGGCAAGAGAGTTAGAAAGCCATTAAGGCCAAAGCAAAAGCAGAATGGTCTCTTTTGTCTCTTACCCTATCTGCCTTAGTATTTATCCCCTACACTTCATCTCAATCATTTTACAGTTCTGTACCCACTACCCACTGACCACACTCTCCCCATCTCATTTAGATTCCTGTCACAGGATAAGAGAAGGATGAGGTGATCAAATTCTGGAGATAAGAGAGAAGCAAGAAAGAGAGACTGATTTAGTCTAAACTATCCAGTAGTGTACTCAGCTGTGATGGGAAGTGGGGCCATGGAGACTATGGGCTACTCTTTCCAAGAGTGGCCTTAGACCCTTGAAGGCCATTGTGCCTGGAGAAGTGGAAGAGTGGACACTATAATATAATATTTAGTGTATGCACATGTGTATGTGTCTTTTATCTTTGATTAGACAATTTTAGCTCCCAAAGCCAGCTTGCCATTAAAGGAGATGTGAATGCTTCTCCCTGAGTGTACAACAGTCCTCCCTCACACCTCTATACAAGGCAGAAAGCTGGTACCTGCCGATTCCAGGGTTCACGGGACCTTGGGTTGATTGAGGAGATGCTCCCTGTCTCAGGGGACACTTGCTTCTCAAGTTAATGCATCTGTTTTCTCTCTGTTGGGGTTGTCTCTCCTCTGATGCTCAGCTGCAGAACTCCCTGAAGACCGATTTGTGTCTTGACCAGGGGCCAGATACAGAGAATGTTCCCATCATGTACATCTGCCATGGCATGACACCCCAGGTGAGTCCTTTGTGCATCCTTATTTCTGGGAGGGGGATGACTGGCCATTTGGTGTGGGGGAAGAACAGCTAAATTCTGTCAAGGCTGCATGGATTTTTATCAGCAACTATTCCCACAACCCTAAGAGGAGAGTCACACCTCTTGCATGGAAGGAAACTGTAAGAGTGGATGCTAGGGCCCAGGATCTCTTAGATGTATTCAAAAAAGTACAATACGCAACTATTTACCAGCAGCACCATGGAATGGCATGTTCTCTATCTTCTAAGTCTACTTAACTCCAGAAAGGAATAATGATTTTAAAATGATACTATCATGAATAGATGATATATATATATATATATGTTCAATTGCAATTCTATTTTGTTCAAAAGACTTGCTGCCTGCCTAAATGTATGACTGAAGACCATCACAGCATGTGTGTTTTCTTGAGTATGAATGGTGAATCTTCCCAGTGACTGTCCAGTGAAATCTGACCACTTTCGTGGACTGAGTTGCTGTGCTGTCCCTAATTAATCACAGGTCATATACATATGACACAAGAAGATATGTACTATATGATCTCACTGTGTAAAATTCAGTATCAAGTAGAGTATTTTTTTAATTTGTTTTTTTTAAAAATTGGGTACTGGTTATGTGAGTGTGTTTACTCTGATACTGAATTTTACACAGTGGGATTATACAGTGCATACCTTCTTGTGTTGTCTTCTATATTTTTGAGACATACCTGTGATGTTTCATGTGGTTGCAGCTTGCTCATTTGTATGACTATGTATTCTTCCAGGTTATGAATATACCATACTTCACTATATCCTAGTTTTGATGTATTAGCAGTTGGAAGTGCTATGAAAACTGCAGCAGTGAATATCCTGCTCATGTCTTCTGATGCACATATGTACTCATTTCTTTTGGATTTATACCTGGAAGGAGAATTACTGCATCATGGGACCGATGTATTTTATTTCTCATAGACATTGCCCATATTAGTCTGCTCAGCCTGCCAAAACAAAATGCCACAGGCTGGGTAGTTTAAATAACAGAAATTTATTTTCTCTCAGTTCTGGAAAGTACAAAATCAAGAAGAAGCCAGCTTGGCTTCTGGTAGATGCCCTCTTTATGGCTTGCAGATGGCTGCCTATGTGGGTGCTCACGTGGGCTGAGGGAGAAACAGAATGAGAATGAGCTCACTGGTGTCTCAAATTTATAAGGATTATAAGATCCAGTGGGATCGGGGCTCAACCCTTGTGACCTCACTTAACCTTAACCTGAAGATTTGAAGAAATTTCAGCATAGCCACACTGGAAACAAAATGAGAAACCTTCTTATGAAGAAGACGCTAAGGGTGTGGCTCAAGATAAATGCATTGTGGAGTGTGATTCATAGAATTAGTCACCCCAGCAGAAGCCGGGAAGGGAGGTTACACAGGACAAGAAGTGTAAGAAGTAGAGGGAATGAAGGAAAGTTGTCCCACTTCTTGGATTCCCCAATCCTAGGCCATGGAGCCTTCCACTGTGAATGTGTACTTTTCCTCGAGGAAAAGGAAGAAAGACAGCCACGGCAATTCCGAGGTCATCAAGACCTCCACTGCTAGCACAGCCCCCTGGAGGCAGGGACAGACTGGTGGAAACAATTTGTTTCCACCAGGAAGCAGATAGGGCCGCCCCCACAGAGCCATGGGGGTGATTCTGTAAGCCAATCATTGAGCCAAAGATTTTCCTCAGGCCTTAAGATCTAGTGGAATTTGCCTTAGATTCATCTGGAGCTTATGATCCCTTCCTTGATTCTGATGTCTTGATTTTGGAATGGGAGTGTCTATCCTACACCTGTCCCACCATGGTATTTTGGAAGCATATGATATGTCTGTCTTCATGGGTTTATAGCAGAAAATAAATTCGCCTTGGGATGAATGGTATTTTCCAGTCTCATCCATATCTGATTTAGATATTTAGATGAGACTTTAGCTTCAGACTTTGGAGCTGATGTTGGCATGAGTTAAGACCTTCAGAGCTGTTGTGGTGGAATGAATGTATGTATTCTGCATAAGGGCATGAATTTGGATGGACCAGGACCATTGTATTTCCTCACAAATTCATATGTTAAAATCCTAATCCTGGAAATATTGAGAGTGAGGAAGTAAATTAATGGTAAATGAGATTATAAAGGGAAGACATGATAGGATTAGTATCCTTTTAAGAAGTTTTTTTATTGGGGGGAGGATGTACTGGGAATTGAACTTAGGACCTTGTGCTTGCTGGGCAGGTGCTATCACTGAGCTATACCATCCCCTTGGTTCTAGTGTCCTTTTAACAATTGACCCCAGAGGTGCTCACTTGCGCGCTCTCTCTCTTCTCTGAGTCTCTCTGTCTCTCTCTTTCTCTCTCTCTCTCTCTCTCTCTCTCTCTCTCTCTCTCTCTCCCCCTCCCTCCCTCCCTCCCTCCTTGCCATGTGGGAGGTGGAACATAGCAATAAGTCAGCCATCTGCAAGCTGGGATGAGGGCTCCTACCAGAAATTAAATTGACTAACATCCTGATCTTGAACTTCCCAGCCTCCAGAACTATGAGAAAGTTGTTTTCTGTTATTTAAACCACATAGTCTATAGAATTCTATTATGATAGTTCAAACCAACAATTATACTGCCAAGGAGTTTTTTTGCATTATTTTTCCAGTTTTTACTCCCACCAACTGCTTATTAGAATCTAGTTGCTCTACATCCTTGGTCCATTTTTGGTATTACCTGAGTTTTTTTTTTTAATTATAGCCAATGTGATATGTATACACTGGTATCATATTATGGTTTCAGTTTGCATTTCTTTGATTATTAATGAAGTTGAATACCAGGATTTTTAGAACATTCTCATGCTATTCTTTGTCGGCCAAGGTGGATAGGCCAGGAGTACTTTAGTCTCTGTAAATTCCTTCTCTGCTTTGTGAGACTCACAGTCTTTTCCAGCTCTTGAGCTGATTTTGGATTTCTCCTTTATGCGAAGGTGGTATTGACCCAAGCAAAGGCAGCTGGTGCTCAGCCAGCTGTAGAAGATTCAGTGCACGACAGTCCATGTTGTGGCTGTGTCATGGTTTATGTCTGTGGCCCCCAGACCACATGAGTTTGCATTGTGCATTTGTGATGGTTCATTGTCTAGTGCTTGGATTGAGGGTGTCAGTGCTCCACCCACATAGGGGTGGAGCCAGAATGTGATGTAATGGCAGGAAGAAGGTGTGTCTTGCTCTCTTTGCTGGTTCCTGCTTGCTGTTTGCAGTCGCCAAGAATTGCGGCCCAGCCATGCCCTCCTGCCTTGGAGCCAACTGAATACAGACTGAAGCCTCCAAAAACTGTAAGAAATAAACCTTTCCTTTCCCAACTTTGGGCTTCACGTATTTTGTCTCAGCGACGAGTAAAAAGTAACTCAGACAGGCTGTAACATGAGTTCTGGGGCCACATTGACTGAAGTGCCAGTCTTGAAACATTTTACTTATGAAAGCTTAGCAAGATTTCTCAGGCTAGAACTATTTTCTTATTTGTAAAATGTAGGTTCCTCAATAGTGTTGTGGTTTAGAATTGGTTCGAATGTGTCTCCCAATCATTCATGTGTTGAAATTTATTGCCCCTGGTGAATATTAGGGAGGCAGAAACTTCACCCAACTACCGTGATCAGAGGCAGGGCCTTTTGGAAGTGATTAGAATTAGACATGGTCATTAGGGTGGAGGCTTGAACTCGGAGGCTTTCTAAGAAGATGGAGGGAGGTCAGAACAGACCTACCTGTCTGCCCCTGGTTTTGCCATGTGATGCCCTCCAGCCTGTAGGACTCTGTCAACAAGAAGGTCATCAGCAGGTTCAGGCCCTTAAATTTCCAAAATTATGAGCCAAAATAAGCCTTTTAATTTGTAAAACAATCTGGTTTGGGTGTTTCATTGTAAAGCAAACCAAAAGAATATAAATGGTGTGTCAAATAAAGGTTTTTGTGAGGACTTAGTAGGTATATTTAAGATAGTGCTTGGCGTATCCTGAGTGCTCAATGAACCCTAGCTATTAGTATTAGACTTCAGTGAAGTCCTATGTTTGTATATGTTGCAGTCACCATTATAACTACCCATGAAGTCTCGGTATGAGCACCATCAAGGCTTCCCCCCTCCCCAAGGTTTTATCTGACACTTGTGCTGATCTGATTCCCCTCAACTTCACATGTCATCCATCATGCATTCCTGCCTAGCCAGAACCTACCCATAGACCACTGGACCCCGGGGAGTTGCCACCACAGCAATACTGTGGAACCAGGGATAGGGCAGTGAAGTGAACAACAGGGGGCCTGAGTCCTGGGCTTGATCTGACACTTTTCAAATGTCACTTGACTTTCTCTTTGTTGGGTTTTACTCTATTTGTGGGGAATAGTTTTATATGGAAGTGCATAGATTTTAAGTGGACACTGTGTTTGAATTCCTGTGTTTGTGTGTATTGCAGTCACCATGCAGATCAGGCCCATTCTCATGGTCAGTGTCCACTCCAAGAGAGTGATTGTTCTGATCTCTTCTATGATTAATTAATTTTATATGGGCCTGTCTTCCGATCTGTGTGATAAAGCTGAACAGGGCCATGTCTAGGCCAACTCTATGAGCTCTGGCAACCTGTTGGTCTCCAGTTTCTTTGTTCTCAAATGCAGCTGACCTGGGAAGCTGTGAGTTTGTACTGTGCTGGCCAAGAATGCTAGGAGCTTCTTTACGTGGATCTGCAGAAATTCTCAAAGACTTGTGTCCCTTCCCACCCTTGAGGCCACAGAACACTGTGTGACTGGGCTGTACAGGGGACACTAGAGCCCAGTCACTCTCTCCCCACAGGGCCAGGCTGAAATGCACAAGCTCAGAGTCTTGGGACCAGCCTCAGGTCACACACGTTTCTCGAGGCATGAAGGTTGGGGACTTTGTAGTGGCAGGAGTCAGTTGAGGCTGGACTGCCCAGGGACCTGGGAGAGCCAGAGAGGACTGGGTTTCCTTGGAGATGGGAGTTAGAGAATGAGTGATGGGTGAAGATCAGGGCTTCTGACTTACAAGGCTTGCCAAAGGCACCCTCAGCCCTCAAGAACTTCACCAAGTCATGGCGAGGATGGAAGAGGAGGCTCAGGGATATGTTACCTGAGGATGAAGTCGGGCACAGCTCAGAAGGCGACTGCATAGATGCAAGTCCCAAGGATACTCTGAGTCTCCCAGGTTGTTCTAAATTAAATGTTAAGTGTGGTTTTCCAGGACTGGTGCCCCTCCAACTGGTGGTTCTCAGCAAAATCTTCCTCAGACCAGGGATAAGGACACTCCAGGGAAGGTCACATACACACAGATGGGATTTTACATGTCACTGTGCAGATTGTGCACTGTGTAACTCTGTAAATAGTAGTTTACATTGTTGTCTGGAGGATATGGAGCAACCCATGGTGACAGTCTTTCTGGCCTCTATCATGAAACCTCGTGTGTTCCTTGCTGAACATCACCCTTGGTAGGATGCCTGAAAATATGAAAAAATCAAATAATAAGACAATGAATGATGTTATAGTTTGGATCAAAAATGTCCCGCAAAAGGCTTGTGTGTTCTGAGGTGCGGCTTTTAGAAGACAACTAGATCATGGGGCATTCTGCTAATAGTGGAACTTGCTGCTAGGAAGTGGGGCCCAGTTAGAAGAAGTGGAGGTGTGACCCAGAATATATTCTTTTTTTTTTTTTTTTTTTGTCTTTTTCCTTTTTACTGGTACCAGGGATCGAACTCATGACTGCCTGCTTGCAAGGCAGGTGCTTATGCCGCTGAGCTAAATCCCCAGCCCCTTCTGAATGCATTCTTTCTTCCAGCCACTCCTACCTCTCTGGCTTTTCCCTAAGTTATTCTTGGCTGTCACGAGGTTGGCAGCTTCCTCTGCCACTCCTTTCCTTCGTGCTATTTCTACTTTGGAGCCAGAAGGCCATGGATCTCTGAAACTCTGAGCTAAAATCAACCTTTCCTCCTTCAAGAAGTGTGTGTCAAGCATTTGATCACAGGGACAAAAACTCACCAGCACATATAGAGATAAAGAATCACACTAGCTAGGTTCCAATCTCAATCATACCATGTACTAACTGGGTTTCTTGGGTGGTGTCACAACTTCCTTGTGACTATAGAGATTATAGTATTACCTCCCTTGTGGGATTGTTGTAAGGTTTAAATAAATGGATGCACACTAAACATTTAGGCAGTGAAGTATGGCAATAGTCATTGCTTACTAAGTATAAATCATTGTTATTACAGGATTGGTCACAAGACTCTAACCTGTGTCCTTGAGCTAGAAGAATTGATTATCCTGGAAAAGCAGATTCAGGAAGGTCGTGAAAGTTCTTTCAAATTATAAAGTCACATTTTTGACTGAGAATAAGGAAACTCTTACCGTCATCAGATGTGATACTATGCCGTTACCTAGACTGAAACACTTTTAGTGGGTTCCAGTATAGAGTTTCTGTGAAGAGTTTCTGTGTCCTTTAGACACGTAAGCATGTGTAATCTCTAAGACTGTTTACTGTTCTGGAAGTTTGACTTTTAATTCGTTGTTGTGTGTGTGTGTGTGTGTGTGTGTGTGTGTGTGTATTTCTCTTTAAATTAGTAAGAATCTACCAAGTGCTAGATACTGTTCTTAGCTCTGGAAGACACGCAATGAACCTGAAAATGAGCCACTGTCCTTATGGACTTTATACTCTTGTTCTAGAGACAGACTTTCTCTACCTTTCTTTTTGTTGTTGGTAGTTTGTTTGTTTGTTTGTTTTGTTTTTCCCTCAGTTTGGGGATAGAACCCAGGGCCTTTATACTGACTCACATCTCAGCTTTTTTGTTTTGTTTTGTTTTTCCGTTTGGGTTTGGTTTGGATTTGCTTTGGTTTGGTCTGGTTTGGGTTGGGTTGGGGTGGGTTGGGTTTGGATTTGGTTTGGTTGGTTTGGTTTGGTTTGGTTTGGTTTGGTTTGTTTGGTTTGGTTTGGTTTGGTTTGGTTTGGCTGGTGACAGGCTCTCACTAAATTGCCAAGACTAGCTTGAACAGCACTCTTACCTCAGTGTCCCAGAGTGCTGGATTATAGATGTGCACCACCATGCCTGGCTTCTCCATTTTTACTGCTTGTGTCCTCACCAGGGCTAAAGAGAGAATTTGTTCCTCTTCCGAGCACTGTCTGGTACGGTTTCATTTGAGCTTCGAGTCTTGATTACAGCCAGCCCTGGCCAAGTGCAGTGCAGAAGGAGGAGGAAGGCTGACCAAGCTCATCCTTCTGGCCTTGTGAGATGGCTGCGTAAGCACTGAGTGCATTTGAAAAGGGGAGACTTTGTAGACATTTTCCAAAAGAAAATATTAGAGTAAGAGGGACAGATTAGATGCAGTGTGGTTAATGTTTCACATGGAAATGAAATCACAGCCATCAGTGTGAGCTTTGCTACCCAGGCAGAAATCTGGGAGTTAACATATAACTTTATGGTGTCTGCGCCCTAGTCAAAAAGTAAATAGCAAAATCAACAGGAAGGGAGTCCCTTAGGAAATACCATGCTCTTGGCGGGCCTGTTAACACCCTGGTAGAATATTGCCAGGACGGACCATCTCCTCCCACCTTCCTTTCTGTCTTATTCCAGGTTTTGGATATTTTCTTACTCTTTTCACAAAGTTCATTAAAAGTCAAGCGGTTCTCAGACTGTCAGTGACTCCTTTGTGGATTCATAGTCTGATCATGTGGCCTTTCCCCAGCACTGGTTCTGTGGCTGCCATAGTGAAGTACCACAAGCAAGTGGCTTATACAGCGGGAATTTATTGTCCTACAGTTTTGCAGGTTGAGAAATCCAAGACCAAGGTGCCATCAGCCCATGCTCCCTCCAAAGGAGGGAGGGAGGGATCCAGTCCAGGCCTCTTGCCCGGCTGCTGGTGATTGCTTGGCTTGCTTCAGCTAGCCTGTCTTCCCATGGCATTCTCCATGTGGGTCCTCTCCTTGTTTCCGCACTTTCCCTGCCATAAGGCACCTGCCATTTTGCGTTAGGGTCCCAACCATCTGCAGTATAACCTCATCCAAATTTAACTAATTATGTCTACAGTGAGCCTATTTTCCAAATAAGGCTCTGTTCTCAGTACTGGAAATTAGGATTTCAACATAAGCATTATGGGGGTATACAACACCCCTAAAGGGGAAGAATGTGATTGGAAACCTGACATTGGCTGAAGCGCCCCTCACATCACTTCCTGCCCCACCTCATGGGCCAGCACTTGTCACGTGGTCCCATCAGCCGCACAGAGGTGGGCTGGCCTGGTCTTTTGTGTGCCCAAGAGCTTGTCTTTATCACAAGAGCTCAGGTAGTTT